AAAGGTTCTCTAAATATTGCACTGAGAGAAATAGAAATGTCCTTTACAAATAGACTTCCTTATAGCACTACTGAGGAAACACGCAGCAAGGTAATTCGGAGTCCGTTGCAGATGAGCTGGAGACACTGGAACTGCCCACTGGAAAGACAGATTGGGGGAGTGGCAGACTAGGGGTGAGTGCCACCAGGTTATAGAGCCTTTCATTTCTATAACGCCCCTCTGCATGAAACCCAGGTTCATATTGACCACAGCAGCTTGTAATAATTTAGTGCTCTTTGGGTACAGACGCCTACGTCACAAAAGCCAAATCTCCCCTCCCCCCCCATTGGCACCCTCACGAGTAAAAATCAGCAGAGTTGCAATAGGCAGAGAAGTGGGGCAAGCAAAGACGGAGGAGCTTGTGCTGCCATGGCATATACTGTACCTCTTCTATGGTGAAGCAACCATTTTCCTTCACCAGCCCAGTCTGGCACTTTTCACTAGCACTAAAACAATCACCCCCACACAAAACATGAGTTTAACTTACCTCCGTTTCCCACTTGATGGAAAAGTCCAGGAAGGAGCCGTTCACTCCAATATAGAACTGTAATTCCAGAGACATCTGTCATATCCCCTAGGAAAGCCATGAGTACCCCGTGCCAGCTAGCAGCAGGGAGAGCCAGGACTGAGAATACCTAGTGTTTCATTCAGGGCAGCTCTGCTGTAAGTCTCCAGCCAAACAGGATTACATTTGCAAAGGTACCAAACTGTAAGCAATGGGCCAACTGTGTTCACCAAAGTGCAACCAGGCCATGCAAATTGGTGCTTTTGATGCAGCAGATTTTCAAGTTAAAAAAAAAAAAAAAAAAAAAAACTATTGCCTTCAGGAACAGGCTGAGGGCTAAGAAAATGCTTTCTATATATGACAAAGGACTACATTGAGAGAAACATCTTCTGAACTTTTCTCTTAAACTTCTCAGTACAACTGCAGAACTATAATATTAGTTACAGCAGAATTACAGGAGAATTTCAATCAGAACAACAGGCGAAATCCTGACAACTGAAACTAACAGGAGTTTTGCCCTTAACTTCAATGGAACCAACCAAAGATCCTTTGCCTTAATAACTGCCAAAATATGCATGTGTGCACATGCCTACATACACTGTCTCTCTCTCTCTCGCTCTCTTTCTGACATGATCAATTGGCTTGAAACCAATTAATGAATGATATTAACACAGTTTTGGTGTTTGCTATGAGGAGATACAACCCAAAGGGTCCTCTGTTAGGTTTCTGATATCACCAAAAGAAATCAGGAAACAAGGTGAGAGGGGGTGTTTTATTTGAAAACTGCTTGTTTGTCATCGCAAAAGGAAGGCCAAAATTTGTTAAATTGTAAGAGAGTCAATATTAGAAATGGACATATAAAATTTAATAGCTTTGGTTTGAAATACATCTTCAATTATATAATTAAAAAACAGTAGGGCAAGACCAAAAACTCAGTTTCATAAAACATACAATATTGCTATTTTTATAAGACCCATCTCCCAGAGTATTTTATAGTGGAAAACAAACCCTAATTTAAATTACATACTTCATTAAAATAACAGTAATAAGAAATAACATTATTGTAAAGTCTACATCTAAATCTACTTCCTTAGCCCTAGACTGATTATCTGTAATATAACTTCCACTTCCAATACAAATGAATATATATTTGTATTTCTACATGAGTGTATAGCAATTCCCTAGCCACAGTAACATTTCCCCCATGAATTCACGAATGAAAGCCCAAATTGCAGTAGATTCATAGAAACTTGGGGTACAGAAGACTTTTTTTTTTCTTCTTAAAACCAGAACGTGCTTAGGAGAGCTTATATGCTGGGTACAGTCTCATCAACATGCCCATGACATTGCATACACGTTTCTCTTTCAGGGTTCAGTCCTTCAGGCTGTCTGCAGTCTGCCAAAGCCGAACTCTCATTGCTAAAAACCTATACAGAGATTTTCATAAAACAGAGCACTAAGTAGGTCAGCAGATCCCTGTCCCTGCACCAAATTGTGCACTGAGAAGTAATGTGAAGAAGCAGGCCTTGTGCTAGATGATGGGGGCTGGTCAGAGTAAAGCTCCACGACAATGCACAGCAGCAATTTTAAATATGAAGATAAGTAATATTAAAATAATTAAGTGTTTTGGTCACCAGCTGCTGCTGCTCAGTTTCTTTTCTCGCAGCTCCAGGCTTGGTGCTTCACAACGTACACTGAGCATGGTGTGCTTGCCAGCTTACGGGGCCCATTCCTATCACTTTATACCACCTTCTTGAACTGTGAGCATTGTGCTATCTGGCCCTACTGGGGTTTTGCCTTCAGGAACAGGCTGAGGGTTTAGAAAATGTTTTATATATGACAAGAGACTACATTGAGAGAATCATCATCTGAACTTTTCTCTTTTTAAACTTCTCAGCACAATTGCAGAACTATAATATTAGTTTCAGCCGAATTTCAGTCAGAAATTCTTCTCTGTGCACTTGCATGAACAAGGTCTCAGGATCATAGCAAATACAAAATTGGATCAGCCTAGTGGCCCATCTAGTCCAGTATCTTGCCTCTGACAGTAGTCAGCTCTGATTTCAGAGGGTGGTGTGAGAAATCCTGAAGCAGGACAATTTCTTCACAAACTCAAGAGAGTAGCTTAGGCCCTGGAAGCACAAGCCCTCACCACTTCTCAGGTTCAAGACTGAGAATACACAAATCTCCCTGAAGGTGCAGAATAGAAGTAACACAGGCACCGTAGAACTTTTACAACCCAAGCCTCACCCACCAAACTTCACTGTACAAAGGAGCCTACAAGTACAGTAGGCATTGTACCTTCTGCTTAGGAAATTCCTGTTTAAACAAGACACCTCTGTGCATTCTATAAATATATCATATGCACTCAGGTCTGGAGCATACAAGGTTTTTAAATAAATGTTTGCCTATAAATGGAATCCTTTTAGCGAGACTTCATTGCATATATTCATTTTATATACATGAACACCATATTTTATATATATTATATATATATATGACTCATATGTACACATTTACAAACCTTCAAAAATATATTGCACTTATATACAATACAGCTTTATGTCAAATGAGTTCACACAGTAACATAGGTAAGTTCTTCATGAGCAAGGCAGTTTTACATTCCCCCAAAATTATACAAGTGATTTCATCAACATGCCCTGTTCAGCAGTAAACATTATCAAGTCTAATCTCCCATACCCACCTGTACCTCCCATTAGCACCAATGGGAGTTGTGCAGATGCATCTAGCAGAGAGCAGCTCAATAAGACACTATTAGCTGATAGGCTCAAATGAATATTTAATAGATAAGTAGAAGTTAGATGTCACCACTATAAAGGGTCATATTTCAGGGCTTCTCTTCCCCTCTCCATTTGCTACTGTTTGTACATAAATATTATCTATTTAATTCCTGATATCTTTGTTCACTCATTTCAAGTGCAGTGAGTTAATGAGCTTTGTTTTGTCCTTTGGGGAGAACAGAAACGTGACTATTAACTTTGTTTAACAAACACTGCTCCAGTCCCTGGAAGAACTCAACCCATTGAATTTCTTCTAGAGAAAGCAATTAGTGTTTTACTCTGCAGGCTAAATTACAGAAAATTGTTCACCTGAGACCTTCATATAAACACCATAGTGGTTTGATGGCTTTCACTTTAGATCTCAGTGAGAGTGAGCTTGTAAGATCCTCCAGCCTCTTCAATCTGCAGCTGGAAGGTGTCTTCATTTGAATAGTGCTTCACAATGTTGTCATCCATGTTGACCAGGATTCTAATAAGGAAGGTAAGTATTTTAGTTTAAAGTGCAGAAGTTACCAGAAATACATTACATATCGCTCATTTAAACCTAACAGAACACTTTTGGACTGCCAACAACAAACTTGGTATCCCTGCTTCCCCTCATCTCTTGACCTGGTTTACCTGACCTAATCTGCTTCAAAAGTTGCTGTTCTGGCTTGCAGCCACACTTAACTGTTGTCCACAATCTGAAACAGCTGCCAGGTTGGCTCATAGGAAAGGGAGGAAGAATGATCTCAGAAATGACAAAGAGAGCTGGGAGAGAGAAAGCATGTGACACACACACAAATAGCCTGGTTGTGATATTCACCTGGATACAAGACACATGGAAGAACCAGCTCCAAGACTCTGTTCTGCCCGATTCCTCTTTGTATAAACAATTAAATATTCACAATAGCAGGGACTTGCACCAGGGGTCTCACATCCCAGGTAAATGCCTTAAGCACTGGGCTAGAGACTCGGTCTCTCTATTTCTGGCCCAATGATTATTTATTTCTTTATTTGCACAAAGTGGAACAGCTTCAATAGGAAAGACTGAGGCAGACCCATCCCAGCATAGCCTGGTGGAGAAGGCACTCACCTGAGATGCAGCAGACCCAGGTACAAGTCCCTACTCTGAATCAGGATCCTGGAGGCATCCCAGGCAAGTGCCATAACCACCAGGCTATTGGCCATTCTTGCGTAGAGTGTGTGTCTGGATTTTTTGCAGAATAGAACAGAAGGTCTCAAGTTTGTCCCAGCAAACTAGGAAAGTTTTTGAAAATTTGAAGGTTTTCCTGGGCAGGGAAAACTTTTTCCAACAGAGCACTCCTGACACGCAATCTTTATGAAGCTGAATCAGTTTCAAGACACACTGACAGTTCAGAAAGCTCTG